TTAGATTCTGTCTCTGGCAAAGTGGGGATGATTAGATAAAGTGTGTCTGGTGGAGTGGAGCACTTTTTCACTTTACAGTAGCAGTGCCTGTGAATGAATGGAGAGAAGGACTCCACTTTCTGACAATAACACAGAAATATCTGTCCACAGGATTTTTAATGCATCTGGGAACTGAGGCCTCAATTATAGCCTTAATTAATCCAGAGCAGTTTATATACTCCACACTGCTACACTACAAGTTTACGATTCTTACATTTTAGTGTTTAAAAGACATTGTGTGTAATTTCTTACTGGCATTGTGAACAGCAATTACTCCTAAAAGCTGATGCAGTGAGCGAGTTAAAGACAAAGCAGAGGAATTAAAGAGGAGCAGGTTGCGGAGAAGAAATACAATACAATACAATTCAATACAATAGCTCTCATTTTGAATTCCCTCCCTACTGTAGTGTCCCCTTTGCCTGCACTTCATTCTGTCATAACACAATAACTGAGCTCTGACGTCTTAAAAGGCATTGCAGGAGCATAGAGGTGCTTGAAGAGAAAATTGCAGCAGCTCACAGCGGCTGGAGTGAAAGACCATTTTGTCTCACTCAAGATGGATTCCACAGTGAGATTTCAGAGGACCAGTACAGAATCAAAATGGAGAAGCCAGAAGGGAGGAGAGAAAAAAGGGAAAGAGGCAGTGTGTGGAGTGGACAGCTTTGGAGGAAATGTCTGAATTTTGTTTTTGCTGCTGCATGGTAATGTTTAGTTTTCAAGGTTTTCACCTTTGCTAGATGTAGTGTTATTTATTGGTCTTTTCTAGCTTTTTGGTGAATCATATGCAATCAGCAACAAGAAGTGCTCATATTTCACAATTAAAAGAAGCATTTATGTATACAGCTGTGTATAAAAGCAGTGAAAAAAATAAGCGAAACAGCAAAGGCAGTGATGAAATTCTTTTTTTTTTTTTTTTTTTTTTTTTTTTTTGTATCTGGCCTCCTCGACCTGTGAGAAGATTTCCTCTTACCAATCATCTTGCATACTGGCATGCATGCATGGCTGCCGGCATATTCACACACATACACACACAGTCTCAAGCCTCCCTCCTTCTCTTTATAGATTCCACTTGCTGGTTGCCCATCTAACAGCCCTGTATGTAAACCCGTGAAACCCCTTCAGGACATCAAATCCGTGGAATCTGTTGTCGGTTCTATCTAGGTCAATGCTTACGATAGCTATGCAGTTTTGTTTTGCTTCTCCCGCCTCTCTCTGTATCCCCCCTGTTTGCTTAACCCCACAAGGTTGACTTTCCTTTGCTTGTATAAACATCAAAAATGCACATAAAACGTAAGCATATTAAGCACGCCTTGCTTCTTTCATACATATTGGTCTCCAGTGGAATATTAAAAGATGTAGGGGTTTGATATTAACATTAGTGTATAATTTGATATTACATTTAGGTTATGTCTCTCTCTCTCTCTCTCTCGCTCTTTTTTTTTCTTTTTTTCTTACAGCTAATTGGTTTGGACAGTGCCATTATTAACAGTTCTGTCTGGTTACACTGTAACTCAACACGGCGCTGCAGCCGAGCACGGCGTCATGAAATATAGGAGAAAAGCTGCAATTATCGTGTGACAAACAGTTGTTTTCTCGCTGATCTATAGGGGATGATGTTACGTGACCTAAGGGAGGTTGCATCTAATTTGTTTACCCACACAGAAAAGAAAAATCCCCTGCACCTACTGGCCCATGCATTTTTTATGGGATTTTAAAATGTCTGTGGGGAAGGCCCCTTTGACCAAAAGCACAATAATAAATATTAAAATTCATCATTTCAGAAAGCTTTTCTAATTAATACTTTTGTTTGACTCCCTCCTGCCTTTTATCATAGATTTTTTTAAAAATACATCATACATGTTAACTCGCTGTTTTACACAAGAAAACCCACAGCTCCTCTTGTTCAACTTAAATGAATTACCCATTTCTAATCTGCTTTAGCTGCTCCCACACAGCCCCACACAGTTTGCTCTACTTTTGGATAAATTGCTGATATGACTGCCTTCAGACATGGGGTGCAATCAAAATCAAATATGGAGAGAGAATATTTTGCGAATCTAAGCAGTCAAAAGCTCTCAGACAATAAAACCTCAATCAGAATGACCCAGGAGTATAACAGTTGGGACGATTGAACGTTTCTCTTCCTTTTAATAATCTTTACGCGGGTGTCTGCTCACAGTCACAGTAATTGGATGTGAAATTTATTTTTCGGACATTCCTAACAAACCATGTGCTGCCATTCATTCTTGTACAGTGTGAAAAACAACTTCCACAAATATGAAAAGGCCAAGTCTGATTATCCATCATAGTAAACAGCCTCAATTTTACTTTGTCTAAGTTTGCCAGTTAATCATTTTCTGGTTCCGATTTTTCATGTGGGCACATGGTGTTCAGTGTCTATCAAATAACACACAAAGAAAGACATCAGAGGATCCTCCAGGAAATAATTAGTCATCAAACATGTTGCTTTACAAACTGTCTGTATCTATAAATCTGCACATCCAAGTCTTCTTGTTGTTGACATCTGTTCTGCTCAGCCAGCAGGTAATTTAAAGCCAGCAAAGTATTTGTAGAGTAAAATGCTTCAGCAATTTCAGTCTGAAATTAAATTATTAATAAGTGCCACTGTACCAGATCAGTTGTCAGTCATACTGCACAAGCCATGTCTGACTGATCAGGTAGCTTTGGGTCATGAGCTGTTCCTTTTTTTTACTCTCCACACTTTCCTATTTCTGTCATTTTGATCAAAGTTGATTTTTGTTTCATCAGTCAGTAGAACCTTGTTCCGCCACCCCTTATGTCTCTTTTTGGCTTGTTTTGTGGCCTTTCTGTTTTTGAGGCTTAGCGTGGGGTTTGCACCTTGTGGAGAATCCTCTGAGGTTGTGGTCATGAACACTTCTTCACCATGCAAATGATGATTTTTTTATTTATTTTTTTGCTTGTCTACAACACTTATGCTCCTCAGTCTACCAGTTTGTTAGACATTTTCCAGGTTTCTGTTTCAGACCCAACTGTTGATTTTGACAAACCACCTACATTTAATATCTCCCCTGACAGATCACCTTATTACTCCTCATAAATACAGACATCTCAATCTCAGCCCAGGAAATACTTAGTTTTCTGTTCAATTGCCTTATTAATATTGCTATTAAATACTTATTTGAAGCAGTTTTACCATTCTGAGTTTAACCTTCCTAACCCCAGGCAGTTTCTGGATGGTTTTTGCTCCTGTCACATTTTGTAACACTGTGGGCGCATTTTTCATCGTAATAAAGTCCTGCATCTCTATGGAAACAGCACAACCACAGCTAGAAGTAGAGACTTAAAAAGTATTTGTGCAAAATGACACAGTTATAATGCCATCAGTCATAACAAAGACAAAACTCTAAATTGAATTTCTTAGATAATTTATATTACAAAAAAAAATCTCTCTACATATTTGAGATATTTTGCTATTGGCATTTATTTTTTTTATTTTTTTGCCATAGTCATCTCCTGACTACTATGTGTGCAGGTCAGCCAGAAGTCCCAAAATTTTTGTCACATGACAGACATGGAATTTTATTTATTAATTTAGATTTAAAGTGTTTTATTTTTAATTTAATTTAAGTTTATTTTTTACATTATCTGGTTGCTGCAAAGACTTTACTTTTGGCAACTTTTTGAATGACACACTTAGAATAAAGTGATGTTGAAATATCACAATTTTAGGCTGGATTTAAAAATTACCCAAGAGAGAAGAAGAGTCACACATTTTTAGCAGATCATCGGAAAGTTAAAATTTGATGATTGTTTTTGTTTTTACAGTTTTGTCCTCTTAAAATATGGGACAATTTTGGCATTTATTTTAAAGATCACATGTCTTTCTTTCCCACTGATGAGTTTGGGGACTTAGTTCCATAAAACAAAACTGCTGAAAATAAAGCTGTTGCTTGATCAACTGAAAAAAAAAAATGTCCAAATGCTTGTGGATTAGACTACAAATATGTGTTTTTTTTCTCTGTATGTTTTCACTTTAGATTTTATATTTGCACACAGTGCACATCAGAGAGGAGAGTGGTTAAGAATATGATGACTCTTTTCAAAATTTGCCTAAAAATTCTAACATGTGCAACAATATTTTAACCCTGTGATGCCACCATACAATATTTTTCTTCTTGAGTCTGGCAACATCACCCATAGCTGTTTCTCCTCTGGCCCTAAAGGCTTCCTATGCTGCCTCTGTCTTAGCAGGCCCACCACTGCACATGGAAGACAATCTCCTGTAAATTGCTTTTTCAATCAGTTTTGACATCAATCTGCTCCCATGGGAATGTGGGCATCCATGTGATGGCGGAGAGGAAGGTTTCTTTCCTTATGGATGTTGACAACCCCACTCAGCCTGGTTTGATCTGCAGAATTAACATAATATTACCGTACTTCAGAAGTGGCTGTGACAGCCAAAGAGGGATTGGCTTTCTATTCAAGACATTGGCGCCAGTGAGGTTACTGCAGCAGCACAAAGACAAAACAATAAAAGCTGTTAAAGGTCAAACGCTTAAATTATACGTAGATCTGAATTTTCAACACAATTTGTGCACTATATGTTGGTTTATGGATTTATATTGTGTTCCCTAGTAATTTGTATTATAAGTTCAAGTATTTCCAGCACAGCTCACTGATCAAGTCCCGTTTAACAACAAATATCTTGTATCTATTGTTTATTTACATGAGATTCATGATTTCTTTCTTCAGCTTGCTCCAGTAAACTCTGTTGTGTTGTGCAGAATTAACACATAACTTCTAAAGGTTTTGTGTGCTGTGAGATTCAAACTTCAGCAGCACCCCGTGGAGAGAGAAATCCTTCAGTTGTGCCGGAGTGAATGAATTCTTTATACTGTAAATGTTGTTTTGATTCTACATAACAACCGCACAACTGCAGCCACTCATGTATTTCCACTCACTCTTCTTATCTGCTCCAGGACAAAGATATCTCATCACATCCACGGGAGCCTTGTATATTGTGGATGTCCTGCCTGAAGATGGGCTGAATAACTATCGCTGCACCACACGCCATCGTTACACCGGTGAGACTCGCCAGAGCAACAGCGCGCGTCTCATTGTGTCAGGTCAGTACTGGAATCAATTTAATTGCGAACATCATATATTTGCATATATTTGTCTTAGTCACTACTTGCAAATATGCGTGTGTATTTTGTGTGTTGTGTACTTTTGATTTTTCTACGTCTCTAGACAATGAATTATACATTACTTTTCCAGGCCAGGTAGTAACAAGTAAACAAACACTGCAGTATCTGTAGGTCCTTTTAGAAATTGTAGCATAGATTGATGAAAGGAAGTCAGCATGGGATGAAGAGAATAATAGAAAAGGGCTGATCCATGGTGCTATCTCTGTTTTAGCTTTAGAAACAATGAGATCCCTCCTGAAATTACAGGAGTACAGTCTGTTTCTGTCCTCTCCCCCACATAACAAAATATACAGTATATAGAACTGAATGTTGACCCCAAGAATCAATATTGGATTATACTGTCAAGCGCCTGGCAACGCTCACCACTAATTAACACTAAATTCTCTGCTCCTTCCAGACCCCACCAATGCTGAGCCAGGCATCTTGGACGGCTTTGACCACCGAGAGGTGATGATTAATCATCGGGTGGAGCTGCCCTGTAAGGCTTCAGGCTACCCTTCGCCCAAATACCGCTGGCTGAAGGACAACAGCCCTTTGGAGCCTGACAGTCGCTTTCGCCAGACCGTCACAGGGTTGCTGATAGAGAGCACGCAGCCCAGTGACTCTGGAACATATGTCTGTGAAGTATGGAACAGTTATGGCAACGCTGAGGTCATGGGCCGCCTGTACGTCAAACGTAAGTCTTTTATTAAAAGGACGAGCTCCCCTATGTTATCTGTAACAGAAGCTGCTGTACTCCAGCACAAAGTCCTTGTTAACTGTCCGTGACATTTATGACTGTGTTAAAGAGTAGTTGGCTAGCATGTTTTTCATATGGGTGAAGGAGATGTGACATATCAACTAAATGAAGCAATGAACTTGGCTGAAAAACATTTCCAGACACATACATTTTCATTACCTCTGGAAAAAAAATAACTTAGCTACAACACTGTATACATATATGTAAGTGATAAAAGTGATTCAATGAAACTAATGCACACTTAACGAGTTTACTGGCAAGTTAAATGAAATATTGTTCTGTTCTGAAAGTAAATGTATATTCAAATGGTGTGTTTTCTTCAAACCAACAGTCCAAACCCCAGAGATTTACTGTATATTCAGTCTTAATAATGAAATTAACAGATAAAAATACATTTTTCAAACAGTCAATCATTTCAGCTCTAACCTGCAAATAGTGATTACAACATTTTCCTCTGAAATCTTTTGTGGCTCTGATGGTCAAGTTTAATGTAAACTTACAAAAAAATTGTATTAAAAGTTAATTTGATAAACTCAATTTCTGTGATTTGTGTGTCCGTAGAGCCCTTGAAAGCAGTGGTCAGCCCTCGCAAGGTGAAAGGCAGCGTGGGTAGCAAGGTGTCTCTGTCCTGTAGCGTGAGTGGCTCAGATGAGTATGAGCTGTCATGGTATCGCAATGGAGAGATCATCTACCCCGGCAACAATGTTCGTTTCACTGGGCTGAATCGGGAGAACCTCATCATGGAGGGAATGTCGAAAAGTGATGGCGGAGCTTACCAGTGCTTCGCCAGGAAGGGCAAGATGTCCGCACAGGACTTTGTGCAGGTTATTCTTGAAGGTAAAATAGTTGCAGCACAAAGGCATCCATGCACACAAATGCTGACCATAAGCTACAGCGTAGCAGCTGTCTATGCATAATCAGTGAGTTAGCAGAAACAGATTCAGGTCTTGGAGATCAATACAGGGTTTATGTGTTAATGGCATGCTGCTGTGACTCTCTGCCACCTCCAGTGTGATCATCCCAGACTTCACAAACACATACAAAAACACATGTACACACACTCTTTAATCCAATATCTTACCTTGGCAGTGTTGCTTAGGCAACTGTCTCCTGTGGCCATGGGAGCTGTAAAAAGAAGATATTGATAATCTATAATCATGTGGAATAGACCTAGATTATCAGAGAGCAGCAGCAGGCAGACATAGACATTTCAAAAGCCAACTGCTCTCTGTGTCTGGGAGAAAAGTTCCTGGATCATAATGAAAAGCACCGAATGGTGAAGTCCTAACAAAAAGTCAGGATTTTTTTTCCTTTCCTTTTGCTGCCTTATAATTATTTCATTTAAAAAAAGTTGTTTTTGTTTTTTTTTTTTATAGCAAACAGTACTTACAGCAGTAAATGTACTTTAACATCTTCTCTTACACTCACAAACACTGTGGGTAAATAACAACAGCATCGTTTCAACTGATAAGTAAATGACTTTGATAACATGATATGACAGGACTTCATTACAGGCTGTGTGATCTGGCCTCTGATCTTGCTGCTATATGCACACTGACAAGCTTTTTTAGTTCTCAATGGCCTCAGGAAATGTACATTGCATATTTATTATAAAGCAAAACCATCAGATTTCAGCTCGTCCTTTGAGCAACCTGCTTAGTCTGTCTCTCCATGCACCACACCATACCAAGAAATATGAAAAAGAACACGACATTTCTTAGGAATGGGTTTAATCAGTTGACCACATGGTCCTGGTGGTCAGTACTGCAAACTCACGGTTGTTGTGAGGTCAAAAAAAGAAACATTCTCTTGGATTCGTGTTGTGAAACAATTTGTTGCTCATTCAAGTTCCTTTATAAGTCTACCGCTTGTTGTTTTTGGTCTGGGAATTGTTTAAGGTTATCTCTCTGTGCTCGCCCACACTTTCAGTCAGCCTGTTCACATATCCCTTACTGCCAAAGTTAGATTAACTAAACATCTATAAACGTAACTGAACATTTTACTGTGTCCAAACGGAGACATCATAGTAATGAGCTATTCTCAATTTTGATACCTTTGTCATTCCAAATACATAAAAATACTACAGGCAAATGTGTCATAGTGGTCTGAAATGCTGGTGCGATGTCGCTGGTTTCAGTCCTGCCAGGTACCAATGTTGTATCCAGTTAGCTTCACTTTCCTTCGTCTGTTGTTCACAAAAGGTTAAAATGACACCAAAAGTACATTATTCATGTCTGGATTACTGCAGTCTTACCATGAATGAATGCTTTCTCAGACACTTGTTTGATTTTGACTTCTGTTTTCTTCACCTCATCCCCCACTGCAGATGGTACTCCGAAAATCTTGTCGTCCTTCAGCGAGAAGGTGGTGAACCCAAATGAGCCCGTCTTCCTGGTCTGCAACGTCAAGGGCACGCCGCCTCCCAGGTGCAGCTGGTCGCTGGACGACGACCCTGTCATCAAAGACAGCCACCACCACCTGGGCCACTACGAGACCCACGAGGGCCACGTGGTCAGCCAGCTCAACGTCACACACACCCAGGTGCAAGACGGCGGGGTGTACCGGTGCACGTGCAGCAACTCGGCCGGGGTCGTGTACCACCAGGCTCGAATAAACGTAAGAGGTGCTTGTCAAATCAGCTCCTCCAAGAACAACAATACACATACCTGTCTGTCTCTTTGTATGTCTGTCTCTGTGTCTTTGCAGTACATGAGCAGTGTCTGTTGTTTGGATCTGAGAATTAGTTGCACTTTTTTTTAAGGATTTGTTGGATTTTTTTAAATTTTCATTTGTGTTCCTATCGATATATTACTTTTTCTTTATGTTTGGATTTTCCATCTTTGCACAGTAATTTAGTCGTATTATTAAATCCTAAATCACATTCACATATTAAGGTTGTTCTCCGATGATAGATTTTGCCTCAGTTTTTTTTTTTCCTTTTTACATGTTAGTGTCTTTTTTCTCTGCTGCTTGTGTATTTTTATTTTTTTTTATGTTGTAGCTTCGTCTTTTTCTCTTCAAATTATTACTGTGCTTTTCCAACATGCCTGTATTTTTAGGTCAAATGAATTATCCTGGTTTGCTGCTCATAAGCGTATCTGGATATGGTTTGTAAATAGCCAGAAGAAAAATATATTTCTTCTGTTTGAATCTATTTATCCGTGGTGTGCTTGTGTGTGTGAGTGAGTGTTCATGTGTGTCTGCGTCTGCATGTATTTACTCAAGCAGCCAATTCAAGTCTTCACGATCAGATGTTAAAGCGATTACTCTGTTTCCATTTTATGAGACACAGAATGAGGCGCAGAATGTATTACATTTTATGAGACGCACAATGTATTACAGCCGAGTTAAAAGTATCGCTAGTGCAGTGTTATTTAAATGTTTTCCTTCAGATGTTTAGCACACTTTAATCTGCTTGTCATTTCCCCGCCTTATACCTCGTTGTAAAGAAAAACAACAAAACTTTAAACAGCAGTTTTTCTGCATAACTTAGTATTTTGGTGCTAGGTACCATTTGTGAAGCTGAGGAAGGAAACCTTTCATGTTTAAATGTATAAATATATTTGGTGAGTCATGAGCCTATTTTCAAAAACACCCAAAATCAAGCTGCTCTTGTAATTTGATGTTAATACTAATGTCCCCTAAATGTCTTTATCAAGAGTTGTCTCTCAATCTCTGTCCCTCTTTAGGCCGTGCCAGCATTCGTCCAATGAAAAACATCACAGCAATTGCTGGACGGGATGCCTTCGTTCACTGCCGTGTGATCGGCTACCCTTACTACTCCATTAAGTGGTACAAGAACTCCGCGCTGCTACCATTTAACCACCGACAGCGAGCATTTGAGAACAACGGCACACTGAAGCTGACCAATGTGCAGCAGGGAGATGCTGGCGAGTATAACTGCAAGGTGATGGTCCAGCCAAACAAGATGGATTCCCAGAGCGTCCATGTTCGCGTGAGAGGTAAATCCTGTTAGGTTGCATAGTTGGTGGAGTTAAATGAGTTGTGCAACCTTCATATGTGATGGTTAAATTTAATCTTTTGCACAAATTGTTTAAAATATTGGGAAAGTCAATATATGTGAACTATACTCTATGCTAGAAAATATACTAATATTTTATTATTTGATAAACAGTGCAGTTTTGTAGCTGCCAGAAAGACATAGTCTGACTCACTGGATGTAGACTTCAGGTTTAAGCCTTCCATATATTCCACACATTTCACATAGCTTTCTCCTCCCCTTTCGCTATCTGCATTTAACCATATTCATTTTTTTTAGTTTACCAGGAGGTGCAGCCACACCATTCTCCAGTGTTGACTAAGCGCTGTAGAGATAAGTCTGGTTGTTCCAGACAAAGCAGGGCATTCCTCCAGTTTTCTTTCATCACATGTAGATACTTCAATGAATTTTTTGGTAGACATTTGGTGAAATGTGCTTTTTCCTTTTTTTCTTTTTTCTTTTTTTGCTAAGTGTTAAATTGCAAACTCAGTATCACTCTTGTATCACAAAGGGTATAGCTAGCAGCCTGTTAGCTAGCTCATTCTTAGTCACTCTGCCTACCAGCAACTCCTAAGCTCCCTAATGAATATTTCATATTTTGTTTAGTCTGTTAAAAACCTGCATGTAAAAAAAAACAAAAAAACATTTTAAAGCTACAGTATGCAGGGTTGTGGCCAAAAAGCAACCCACTCCCCCCCTTAAGGGCTTCATTTACAGTCACTCCTCTCAAACACACACTGCCTCAGCACAGCTGGAGGACGACTCCAGGAGAAAGAGAGCGTTGATGGGGAAAGGGATGCAGCACATCAACACTACCTCATACCTAAAAACACACGAAAAAACTAAATCACTACATTTGCAAAGCCAGTACAGACCAACTTTAGATACATACCACCATCTTTACTCACAACAAGGCTACAATGCAGACAGACAATAAACATGTAAGATACATGTGAATATACCCTGAGGAAACGGGTGAAAGATGGAGACCACAACAAGCTCTGAAAACTGTACAAACAAACCAACACGATCATCTGGAACGTTTAGCAGTGTAATATGTTGTATGTTTAGGTGGAAATGTAAAATGTGGCTACACTTTGCCATGCTTGTGCTACCTAATCACTAGCTTTAGTAATGCGTTGTGGTAGATTTCAATGACTGGATGGACAAAGTGTGCGCAACTAGGCATCTGTGTGTTTAGACAGGCATCCAATCATCTCATGCAAGCAAAATGCAGAGATTATATAGACTTTTTACAGGCCTGTAAGTGCCACAGATAACTGATAACTAAAGTGATAAGTGCACTTGATTTATTGGTTACTTTGATGATGGAAATAAACTTTCAGCAAATGTAACAAAAAATGCTTCTGGAGTACGCTGCATACTGCAGCTTTAATTCATAGATTTTGTTGCCTTTGAACAGAGTCAGCTAACTGCTCCCATTTGATGCTGAGTCAAGCAGACCGTTATGATATTATGTGTGTGTGGTATTGAACTCTAGCATTTAGCCAGAAAGCAATGTTTTTTTCTCAAAATGTTACAAATATATACCTTTAAACTGTCTCAAGTTTGACCATGTGTGATGTGGTGGTGAAGAAAACCCAAAGTCATACATTTTATGAAACTGAATTTATTGGAAAGTTTCAATTGGAAATCGACTCACTTTTCTTCCCCCTCTATACACACAGACTCAGGTGTATAAATAGATGTCACCAGACCTCCAAATTAATCTACCCCACATTCCTCAGTAAATACGTGTGGTTTATAAAGACAGTATGATTGCTGCTGATATTACAGAGCCGAGTGACTGATCTCCACTGAGATCTTACAACTGTAATCGGGAATACTGAAAACGGCTGCCCCATTATGCCCCCATTTCCTTCCGTCTGTACAGTATGTTAGGTTGTTGTCACTATATTACACTTTCCCATGGAGCGAGAGAAACAGAGGGAGAAAGAAAGTGAGAAGGAAAGAGAGAGTGATGATATAAAGCAACACTTCCCAGTGGTGCTATAGTGAGCGAGTGCATTTGTTAATTTACTCTGCTCATGCTTAAAATGCGGAAGTGTCTTTGGGGATCCCAGGAGTCCATTATCTCCACTTTGTTGTGAATTAAATAAGCTGCTAAAGTGCTGCTTATTTCACTGTTATTTGAACTCACTGGACACTCACACAGATGACTTGTGTGATGGCTGGAGATTTCCCAGAGAATTTATCACAGGCAATTTGAATAGATCTCATTGTATAACTGTGTTATTATATTATGCAGCCGCAGTGAGTTTGTTTCTGGATTCAAGCTCATGCGAGGGGCTTTGAGGACCCCTCAAAAATGAGAAGATATGTCTCAAGGGGGTTTATTGTCTAAATTGTTGAAATAAATAAATATACCTGTAATTAAGATTTGATTTCATGTCAATGGATAAACTATTAGAGTAGCCAGGCTGAATATAGGTATGCATACAGGTTAGCAGATCAATTGATGATTACTTACACATAAACAGAAATGATTTGCTTTTCTTACATTTCTCTTTCCAGCCAACCTGAATGAGTCACCTCAAAATCATTGTTGTTTTTTTTCTTCTGTTTCTTTGCGCTCGTGTAGCTTCTTCTGTTCAAAGGACAAAATGTTCCAGTCTGAGAATGGCAGGGAATTATTGCAGAATGTTTTGCTATTCAGGTCTTTTATGTTCTTTCAGTGACCTCTTTAAAGAAAGATAGTTAGACGATTGTAGGATTAGAGTGAAAAAAGGACACAGTCCCAGCCACAGAATCCAGGGAATTAAAATGGTCTTTGAAACTCTGGGCTGAAATCACATTTGATCTTTATTTCTTTTCCTGCCTGCAGTCCCTCCCTACATTCAGCCCTTTGAGTTTCAACGGTTCACCATCGGTCAACGTGTCTTCATACCATGCGTGGTCATGTCAGGCGACCGGCCCTTGGACATCACATGGCAGAAAGATGGACGGCCAATCCCCGTCAGCCTGGGTGTCACTGTGGACAACATTGACTTTACCAGCTCCCTGCGAATCTCCAACCTAACGCCTGACCACAACGGCAACTACACCTGCATCGCCCGCAACGAGGCTGCTGCTGTAGAGCACCAGAGTCAGCTTATTGTTAGAGGTGAGGAAGCACATAGAAACTGATTGCACATCTGATAATCTACAGTAACGTGCACAGGTTTTCATCTTAACCAATCCTAGCAGAAGCTAATTTCAGACTTTCGGACAGTTGCTTCTGTCTGGTTGCAGGTTAAACAGCTAGCTTAGTGTTTGGATAGTGTGAAAACCCATAAAACAGAAGCTCAATATTAAAGACACAAAAGATGTCATATGTCAGTGTCAACTTATTTTTTTTGTGTCTATGTACAGTTCCTCCTCAGTTTGTGGTTCAGCCTGAGGATCAAGATGGGATCTATGGGAAAACTGTGACTCTGAACTGCTCCGCTGAAGGCTATCCCCCTCCGACCATTGTTTGGGAACACTCCAAAGGTACATTAAACACAATATAAGTAAACAGTACTGTACTTTCCATATGTACTGACAGTGACACACACATAAACTTGTGAAAATGGTCATTTCTGTTGCGCTCAAAACACAGAGAAATGTTTTTACATGTGAGTGGGTTCCATTTGCTTCACCCACATCCAGTGTATATGGGTGTGAATGCATAACACACACAGCCATTTGCACTGCAAACATGGGCTGGGGACTTGCAGGGTCTCCACCTGCATCATTAGAAAGTCATCAGAGAGAGATGGAGACAGACCGAAGCAGACAGTCAGACAGACAGGAAGGCAGCAGGTGAGTTCAGCCACTTGAGCAGGGCAGATGAAGAGGGGCCCCAGATGTTTGCTCCATCATCCATATAACCAGGGATGAAAGCTTCACCAACAGAAGGACAACAACCAATGAGGAGTGTGTGTTTGTGTGCGTGTGTGTGTGCTCAGCCCCATGATCAAAGGAATGAAAGAATCAGATCTGTTTTTCACCCTTTGATGGGATTTGTGTGTGCGCGTGAGCGTATGTGTGTGCATGTGAGACAAGCCGGCCTCATGCCTGATTAGCACTGTCTGACCAGTGCTGATCAGTATGTATGGAGAGATCAGGCTGAGCAGTGTGTGTATCTCCTCACTTGTAGTGTTTGAGACAAGCTTTAGCAATCCTAAGGGAAGCACCACAAGGTTCAGTTAACCAGCCGGCAGGTTGGTTTTATGGTTTTTGGGGCCTTTGTCACATATTTTTACTTCAGTTTTTTTTTTCCCACACCCTTCCTGTGGCTCTATGATATGTTGTTACACAGGATATCAGTCAGAGCAAAGGAGCAATGAAAATCACCTCAGAAAAAATGTGGCTTGGGAAGCTAATGTCTAATTTGTTGTAAACCAGAGTACAGTTTGTCTAGAGAATAGCTGTCTGGCATGCTTTTACTGCAACAGAAGTAGCTAAGAGCCAGATGAGTGTCTCTGGGAGATATGGAACAGTAAGTAAAGGTCAACTGCTATTAGCATAACGACTAGCACTATATGGATATGCAAAATCCATAATTCAAGGAAGAACACATCTACCTCCCGCTCCCTCTCATTCAGAGCCAGGGGAGGAGGAACAAAGTCACCACTTGACCCTTTGCTAGCCATGGCCACTTGACTGCATTTTAATTAAAAAGCAAAAACCCACAGCTCCCTAAATGGCCTAATCTGTGCACGCTAACTTTAACACAAGCTAATGCAACGTCTGGCTCGGTTCACTTGTGTTTAATACTACATGAGCAAGGTGGAATACGATGCTTTCATCACTTTTAGAGCAGACTGTTCTGAAGACATTAGCCTTATAATTCAGTGTTAGTGACATTTCCTACAGATCTAAGGCTGACACTGCAGAATGAAATACTGTATTTTTTAATAATAAAAGAGGGATGATTACATCATTTTCTAACAAAAAGATAGAGATTAATTACACACGGGTGGCAGGCCAGAATATGTCGAAGATGTCAAGTCCAATTATGTAACATCATTCATAGGTGGATTACAAGTGTCAGCCATAGAGGACTTTTGAGAATTGAGAATAGTGCAAAACTTGCTCTCAAAGCAGACAAATCCAAGCCTTGCAGATTTGTCTGCCCTCACTTAGATTACACAGAAATGCTATGTTTTTAAGGTCATTTATGTATGTGTTCTTTTGATTCCAGTCATTTTACAAACATGCAGTAAATGCAAAGATTAAATCCAGACAGAAAAACAAAGAGTCAGAAAATCCTCATCTAACTTCAGTGGGCATCTCTAAATCTCACTGGCCAGGCGCAGTGTTCAAGGCCAGCTTCAATACAAGGCCTCTCTCTGCTCTCCTTCTGCCTGTTGTTCCTCAGCACCAATCTGCCGTCTTGTTAAACATGAGCATTATGTCTATTCTGATTGCATCACACCAGCAGCTCGGTCTGCTCAGCAGCTGTTTGGCGATTTAAGGATTTAGGCCTGGTGTTAAGAAACATGTTTACAATCCTTCCTAAATCTGACAGGCTTTGTCATCAAATCTGTAAACACAGGCGCATGGTCAAATAAATGCGCATGCACACACACACACACACACACACACAGACATTAGGTCATCTTAATATTAAGTATTGTTTGCTTTTTTAGTTTCATTTTTCATCATTGAATTTGACAAAGACGTAGGCATGTATCGTGTGAGCGATATAAGTGTTTATTTTCTCAATATTTACAACATCTCTCCACCTTCCTTTGTCTTTCCTCCTCCTACTTGCGCTAGGTGCGGGCGTCCCCCAGTTTCAGCCCATCCTTCTGAACAGTGGCTCTCGTATCCAGCTGCTGAGCAACGGTTCACTGCTTATCAAACATGTGCTGGAGGATGACAGCGGGTTCTACCTGTGTAAGGTCAGCAACGACGTGGGAGCTGATGTCAGCAAGTCCATGTACCTCACCGTCAAAAGTAAGAGCCTGTGTCTGATGCACTATCAATAACAACTGATGGACAATAGAGGCAATTTACAAATGACTCTTAATATGTTCAGTAGACAAGCTCTGCAGATTGTGACCAAACTGAGCCTAGAACACATCTGGCCTCATCAGTCCCATACAGTGTGCAGTTATGGTTAGAAAACACAAGGTAATTTTGAAAACACATCAGCAGTAATTATTTCAATAAAACGTGTTATAAGTGAAGGTGACAACAGAACAGATCCTTATCCACAACAACAGTCTGTTGAAATAGCGGACCAGTACAATAAAAACTCTAAAAGACCAGGAGCTGCTAAACATTTTTCTGTATAAATCTTTTTTGTATGAAGAGAACTGCTTCCTTCCTTCAGACCTTCACCACATTTTTCTACTGAGTATATGTAAACACGCTTGTGTTTTGGTGTGCATGTGTGTTCCTGTTGCTCTCCGCAGTGGTTAGTACGTTAATGTCCGTGAATACAGGTCTCCTGCCTCCACTGAGCATTAGTATGTAGCTCCCCTATAGAGTGAGGAGTGGCTCCTTATTTTCATGGTGCTTATATGCGAGTGGGGCTTATTTTCCCTTTGCTACAGTTATCAAACTGGAGCACGAGGTTCCCCGCTGATGGGCAGCCCTCATTCTGGCTCTGTTTGCACTCCATCTCTTTTTCTTTTATTCCTCACTAGCCCAAAGTCTGATATACATACAAAAAAACAAGCCTACAGCTTTACACAGATCATGAAGTCGTTCTGGTGGCTTAGAGGTCAGGTGTTCAAAACATTCTGTATCTGACCTTGACCTCCGACCTCTCTGTTGAAGAGCACCAAAGAAAATAACTCTCTTCTTCTGGGTAAATCTCTACTTTTTATCAGTAATATCAGCTGGCATGTCACGGATATTCATGTGTCACTGTAATTAAGCCTCGCAGTGTACAAGGCTGAGAAGCTGTCAGTGCTGCAGCAGCAGACTCATAGACGAACACACTCTGTGTTTTCATAGGTCAGTTTGCTGACTGTGGCACCCAGTTGCTATGCAGCAAAATGACCTATGGCTGTACTAACCTTTTTTCTTCCATTTTCTACCACGCAGAGTGCAAATACTGTGGCTGCAGCTGCAGTAGGCTCAACTCTCAGTCGCATATCAAACTCCAGACATTGATTTTTAAGAAATATATTTAAACTACAGAAAATTACAGTGAACAAGTTCTAGTGGCATACAGGATGTTTTAACTTATAACTGAAAAATGCAGATAATAAATTGGACCTGCATTTCTTCATGATGTGCTTGTGCATCTCTTGGACTCCATTATACCAATATGCGCCCTTCAGGGTCAAAGAGAAAGCTAAACAGGTTAGACTGAGATGATATAGCTCAGTAATCTAATCAGGACTGTTGGTGCATTGAACCATAGTGCAGATCTTCTCTTTTTCTCTTCTCTCTGACCTTTTTGTTTTCGGTCTTTTAGTCCCTTAGTGAGGTCATCTTGCGATGACAGGAGTCCACTGAGAAAATATGCAGCAGCAAGAAGAGTGTTAGTGTTTTTCTGGGTGACTAAACACCCGTCATCTCCATCTTTACCTGTTCTATGTCAGTGTTTTGTGGGTTTTTGTGTGTGGTACACGGTGTGCTATAGAAGTGGACAGTAATAGGATTGCACATGCGTCAGGATTGCAGGAGTTTATGGGCCCAATCAAACCTGGTGTTGTGGCCTTGTTTTTGTTAGTGTGTGTACAGGCAGTTTACACAAATGTAAAGCAGATGAGATGGATATTGAAGTGTATTTTCCTCACTCTGCTCCATTGCCTTGACACCAATCACTGTTTGATCCACTCTGCTGAGACTTATCTGCTATTGGACATATGTGTGTGTGTTTAGAGGAGATAAACAATAAATAATAAATACCTACAGGACACGACAGAAAGAACAGTAGTCTGTTTATATAGTTTTATTGGTATGCATTTTGCAGTGATGTAGAAAATGAGGGTGTGCGAGAAGTAAACAGAAATTGCATGCATAGTTTCAGTTTCATTGGTCTTTATAGTGAGTTGTATAATCTACCATAGTAGTGAGTGTGTGTATGTGTGTGTGTGTGTGTGAGGGTTGACCCGTCAGATGCACTCTGCTGTTGCTCCAGGCTACAGTTTCATGTTGTTCTCGGCTCTATCAAAGGGAATTTTGACAACTTCTGTGCTGAATAATGTAGGCTTACTTCTCATAACTAGTAGTTTCATTAACATGAACTGTAATGGTAACGGCATTTACAGCTTCTGTTATTTACGTTAAAATAACACGTTGTTACATTGAATAATTAATTTACATATTTTCTACTAATTTGATGGAAATTAATTATGAGTCGTCACTTTTCATTCTATTTTTTTTTCTCACCACAAGTTGAACATGGTTGTGTACAAAGCGAGCAAAGTAGGACAGTAAATGTTTGTTCACTTCATAACTGTAGTTAATGACAAGTCAATGAACTATTCCTTTTTTGTATGAGATACACACTGACTGCATACAGTATCTGTCCTTACTGTTAAAAAACTGTAATGATTTTTTAAGCTATCTATTTCGCTCTGTAACTGTTGAACAACTCACCTGCACAGAACCTCCTCCTTTGACCAAGTGATTCTCATCACTAAATATGCAGGCATACAGTAGTATCAATAAATGCCAGTCCTAGTAATCCAAGCCGTGTTGCAGGAGCTTGTAATTTTGTCTACTTCTTGTGATATTTCTGCAAAACAATTGGTACATTTTGACAATCGTCAAGCATAAACCTGCATAAAATTATTGAGGTCAGAAAAGTGTTGTCTGGATAGTCCTGCAGTGGGCTAGTGGACTGCCTCTCGCACAGCCTCGGCTAGGCTAGGTTTCAGACCCCCAAGACCCTCTACAGGATAAGGCAGGTATAGCTATTAATGGGCTGTTATCTGCTGGTTTATGCAACTGTAATTATTTGCTTCACTATAAAATTTGCAATTTTATATATAGTCAATATATAAAGTCTTCCATTTACTGTTATTTTGATCTGATATCTGCTAGTGCCTGAATGCTGGTGGATTTTTATTGATGATATACCAGCATCTTCAAGAATTGAAAAAACAAACAAACGTAACAACACTATGGTTTACATAAACATAACAACGTTTTTCATTTAGCATCCCTTATTTTTTGTGCACAGTGGGACATTTTATAGTTGTCATTGCACCGTGGCTGATAAACTATTTAATCGTGACATTACTTCTAAATGATCTCAAGCATATTTCTGCGCTGCACTTTCTTGTTATTTATTGGCCGACATAGTGTGTGTACTGATGCCAGTACTGTATGTCTGCAAACTAATATCAGTTAATATATCAGTTTAGCCGATTTATCAACCTTGGTCTGATAAATAGTAATATGGAAAGCTGGCGTCAAGTCAAATCAAATGTGGGAACAGTTCTCTTTGTACGCTATGTACATTTACTCCTGAATACTATTATTCTTGCGGTGTCATTTTAAACCGTCTAAGTTATTTGTGATTCAGTTAGCATTGATATGTCATCTTGGCAGTTGGAATAGTTCATATTACAGGAAACCCTAATATGTTCTTTGAGCCTGTGATAATACTTTGTGCTGTTCTTCCTCTGCTGCCATTGGCTGCTTAGTCATTATATGCTGGCTCAGCCACATGTTCGTCACTCATCAACAGATCATATTTCACATTTTAAACCCCAAAACGTACTTACACACTCAAGATGCTTTCTATAAAAGTGTACTTAGTCGCATGAGTGGTTTGAAAAAGGGGGACCATTACTGTACTCATATTCACTCGTACCATAATGCCCATAGTTAAGTGTTTGTGTGTGCACTTGTGTATAATTACACATTTCGTGTTATTTTTATGCATGCATTTGTTTTTATACATATTGAAAGCAAATTTTATTACATCTGTGTTTGTGTATCCATGCATGGTGCATTGTGTGCATTCCGCTTGCATGCAGTGTGTGCAGTTGTGTGGTGTGTGTCTGTGTGTGTGTGTGTGTTGAGACATTAGAACTCTTGAGTGCATTTCTGCCTCATTTAAATCCGTCAATACCTCAATTAGAAGCCGACGTGGGGCTCAAGGGATGAGCAGTCTGCATGTTTCTCTGCTTTATTTGCACTCTCAGTCTGTCTTTGTTTCTCACACATCCAGCAATGAGAGAAAGATTAAAAAGATAAATAACACATTATTTTTTTCATTTTCAACCCTTGTTCATTTGCTGGCAGCTGTTTGTGCCATCCAAGTGTCTAAATCTGCTATTGCTGCCAACAAAGCATATATTTATTTGCCATTACAGATCAGTTTTTAGCTTTACTGAATCACAGTGCTAACAAAACTGTTCAAATCTAATGAATATTGGAATAAAACATCATATTTTAAAGTCTTTATACATGAGTTTGCTGTTAGTCCTCTTACTAAGTCATAATATCACAATTGTGAATTCTGTTACATGTCAGCTGTTGGACTTGTGTAAAAACAGCACAATTTTTGGTGCTTTAAAGAACTAATGATCTTTTTAATGAGTGAAATGATACCACAAATACAACTTAATTCAAAAAGCCCTTTATACCCTCAGGCTAATTAGCTTATGTCCACAGTGTGATTTTAAGCAGGATTAAAGTATATCTTAGCAGCCATACAGCTAACAATTATCAGTTAGTCTGACAATTATGTTCTTGATTCATTTACTAACTGCTGAGTCTATGAATTGTCAAATAAATAGTGAAAAATGTTCATCATATACGATTTGCGATTATTTATTCATTTATTTATTGAATTTTTCACAACCATTCAGTCACTCTTCTCCAAAAATGTAATTATTATGACAGGAACCTTTTTTTTTTTTTTTTTAACTTTTTTCAAGTGAAAAGACTTCATATGATGGTGTCTGTTTAATTACCCTCACCTAAACTAAAAAACAAATAAATAAACAGCATAAAAGTGAACATTGAGCAGTGCGTTTATC